TCCATTGGTTTTAAGTTTTAGTAAGAGTTTTACTGCATCCATTGGTTTAAGTTTAAGTAAGAGTTTTACTGCATCCATTGGTTTTAAGTTTTAGTAAGAGTTTTACTGCATCCATTGGTTTTAAGTTTTAGTAAGAGTTTTACTGCATCCATTGGTTGAAGTTTCAGTAAGGGTTTTACTGCATCCATTGGTTTTAAGTTTTAGTAAGAGTATTACAGCACTTGCTATTTCATTTGGCCATAAAGTAAGTCGCTATTTCAATTCATTTCAATTTATTTCACCCATTTCGTATTTCGCAAAACATTTCAATTCCTTCATAAATGTGCTCTACTTCCAATTTATATTCCACTTTCTGAAAATGTATAAGTTTATGACCTTTACTTGCTTGGTTTGCCTGTTCTCAAGCATCTCCAAACACACTATGGGGAAATCAAATAATTCCGCCCCTCAGACACCACAAGCTACTTGTTAGCGACACTAGGAGGGTTAAAAAGGAAAGTGCTGGCATGAAATCATCCCTACTGCTTGAGTACATACTACAGGATTGCAAGCCTTTTTAGATTGACTTTATGCAACTAGCTACCCCCCCCCCCCCCCCCCAAAGGAAAAAAAAAATAACACACAGAAACTTCTATACTCACAGCTACATGGAAACAACAATGTAGTGTTGTATCGTCGTGAGTTTGTATGTGCGTATACACGTATGTGTGTATGAATGTGTGTATGTAAGTGTGTGTGGGAGCATGCGTGAGTATGTGTGTGCAAGCGTATGTAATACTATGTGCCTATAAAATTAATTTGTAAATCCATAATATGTTTCATGTTAAGCGCATAGAGCATTGCATAAGTGGAAGTGCGCTATATAAATGCAATCCATTATTATTATTATTTTACTAGCTGGGCACACGTTTGAAGAACGGACTTTAAAAAATCGTCGATCATCAAGTAATTGTGGAAAAAGTGTGCACAGCTTGAGAACGGAAGTGTCACTTGTTCACAATAGCGTCAAAGACTATGGACTTTCCCAATATTTGATCTAAACGGAACTAATGAAAAACTGAAAAATAAATCACAGTGATTTCAGGCTCCTCAATAAAACTGTGCATCCTTTAAATGATTCTGAACCACCATAAATCTTTTTCCAAATTCGAAATTTAGTGGTTCGGAAGTTTTAGGCCGCCAAAGTGACGGACTTTCACAAATATAATATGTAGTGGATTATGGGGCTCACCTCCTCACTGACGTAGTCTCCGGCGATTCTGATGAGGTTTAGGATGACGTCCACATACCAGGTGTAGTCCACGGCGTACTTCTCGGCCAGGATGGCAACCTTCAGCACCTGGACACACACACAAAACAGATGCATACACGCACGTTATTAATTATCTTCGGCTTTTCATAAGGCGGGAATCACATTGTCATACTAAGAATAATGTACAGTTTAGTTTTAGTAAGAGATTTATGGCACTTGCAACACAATAAGGTCGTATAAGTGCTGAAGATTAGAGGTGTTACAAGAGAGTAACAAACATAAAAAAGAAGGAGAAGAGATAAAGACGATAGTTGTTTGATAGGACAGGAGCAAACCACACCAGAGCACCCGCCAACCACCCACAATAATGTACTGTCTGGAGATACTAATAGATAATAGATGACATTTGTATTGCGCAATTCCTACTTAACAACGAGCTGTATGCACTTTACAATCTTTATTACAACTACCAGCCCACCTTGTAGTATTCTGAAACAGTTTCAACTTCTTGGGAAACATACAGTGTAAGCTGCCATTTTACAGGCACTAAATCACAAATATAGAAACAAGATCTTTCTCTCTCTCTCTCTCTCTCTCTCCTCTCTCTTTTTCTCCCTCTTTTCTCTCTCTCTCCTGCTCACACACACACACACACACACACACACACACGCTAACACACACATACACACAACAACAATAATTTACCATCTCCTCCCTGATAGAGTAATCAGCAGACTCCAGATACTCCAACATTTCTCCGACAATCTCCTCGGCATTGCTCCGGTCACACATGGCGTACAGTAGGTCCACGGCGCGCTGCCTCACGCTCACATCTCGCTCCGTCTGTGGGGGGACAGGGATTTAGTTTTAGTATTAGTTTTAGTGAGAGTTTTACTGCACTTGCAACACAATGTTAAAAAAAAAATGGAGATACGAAAAGAAAGTACTGATGTAAAAAAAATAAAAATGGAGATACAACAAGAAAGCACTGAGGTCGCGATATGTATCCGGTATGTCCTTAAAGAGTTCAGCCCAGTTGATTATATCCCTCCCCAAGTCACAAAAGTTTCTGGGACCAGCCATCAGAGACAAGCGAACGTCTTACACAAACCTAACCATTGTTGATTGTTTCAGGAAGCAACATCTCTGCACTCCGGACATGTCCATTGATGCTCCGTTGCTCTCTCCAAAATGTCACTGAAGGTCCTTCCACTGATTGTGCCAGTGCACATCTGGTTGAACGATACCTAACCTAAAGTGATTATCCACCCTTTGAGGAGAGAGAAATAATTGGTCGCTTTTTTAAGGACAAGCTGGATAACCCAGATTTAGGGGGTTTCCAGAAATCTTGACCTACACCAAAAGTGGGCATTGCCCTACCTATAGGAAAAGTTTGGTTTCATTGGTGTGTATATTTGTTTGGTTATAGAGAAAACTCTCTTCATCTTTAAAGAAACTGAACAAGGGGCAAAAACTTTACCTTCCATTTTCTCAAAGCAGCATTTTTGGGGATAGCCCCCTTGTGCTTAAAAGCGACCAAATAGACCCCTTCTTCTTCGTTCTCGACGATTCAATCCACTGGTGTGCACAAACTGCAACTCTCTTTAGATCCTCCAAGCAGCCATACAGCATTCTCTTCACTCTTTAGACCCCGAGTCATTTCCACCGTTTCCCCGGAGTTTTTTTCCTTCGGTCACCTAAACCTGACACACTATGTATGTCTCATAATAACCCCAAAAAGCTTGCCTCTAACTTCTAAATGGCGGAAACAAAGGTTTAGTCATTAGGTCTACTAAAAAACTTGGTTCAAGAATAGTTTTTAAAAAAACAAGAAGAAACCAGCACCAAATAAAACGAAAAACAATGGTCACTAGGGTAGTATCCGACCCTCCCAGACGCTCCCAGTGTCCGATGGGGAACTGGGTTATTACCATCGGATGTTCCCAGAGTCCGATGGGGTTCAAAGAGTTAAGACACACCCCGCTCCCCCCAAAAATCCTGTATCTAATTGTTACCTTGAGGGCAGTGATGACCGTGTCCTGATGTTTCTTCACAGCCTCGTGGGAGAACTCTGAGGTTGCCAGCAGACACATGCTCTCCAGTGCCAGGTACCTGATCACAAACACACACAAACAAATATTTCACGGTCAGAACATTTGATGTCTCTTCTCTACACGCAGGTAAGACAACACACACACAAACATTTCATGGTCAGCGTATTTGATATCACTTCTCAACAGATTTAGTTTAAAACACAGATCACACAGCACATCAGACAGCACAATGAGTGTCCAACACACATGTGTGTGTGTGTGTGTGTGTGTGCGTGTGTGTCTGAGTGCGTGCGTTTGTATGCGAGTGTGTGTGTACCTGAGGTTAGTCTCCTTGTGCTGCAGGAACTGTCCCAGTTGGTTACAGGCGCGCACCAACAGGTTGGGGTCACTGTCCATGTGTGGGTGCGTGTGTGTGTGTGGGTGTACGTGTGTGTGTGTGAGGAGGAGGAGGGAAATACCTGAGGTTAGTCTCCTTGTGCTGCAGGAACTGTCCCAGCTGGTTACAGGCGCGCACCAGAAGGTTGGGGTCACTGTCCATGTGGATGATGAGGTTGATGGCCTCAAAGAGCACGGCGTTCTTGGCGTTGGAGTGCTGCACTTTCTTCGACTTGGGCGCCTCCTGGGCCTTGTTCAGGATGGTCTCGAGACATTCCGTGAGACGAGTGCGCACGCTCGGGTCCTCTGTGTCGGACAACGAGAGAGGGGGGAAAAAAACATCAGTTAACAACATTTTACATCCAATTTCTGAGCTCTAAACTCGTCATCTCTTTTAAAGAACTTTTCTTCGTTTTCGTAAGAGTTTTACGGCACTTGTAACACAATACGGTCATATAAGTGCCGAAGATTAGAGGTGTTACAAGAGAGTAACAAACACAAAAAAGAAGGAGGAGAGATGAGGATGATAGATGTTTGATAGGAAAGAAAAAGCAAACCACACCAGAGCACCCGCCAAGCACCCACACCCCATTTTTGAGCTAACTCGTCTTTTTTAAGGCAGAGTGCAGTCAGCGACTTTAGCCACCAGGCTATAGTATGCGCTCACTTCCGCTGGGCGCTCACTTCCGCTGGTGACTTTTAGTCGCCGACGCAAACAGGCACACTAAACATAATTAAACAATGAATGGACGCACTGCACCGAAGTTTAAAATGACAATGATAGCTGACCACTCACCAGGCGGGGGGTAATTCTGTAACAGTCGGAGCAGCTTGACGGACAGCCAGGGCGCGGGGACAAAGTAGTAGGTGTAGTCCTGTAGATCCGTGTACGAGGCCGTCACAATCTGAGAGAGAGAAACACACATCGATGTCAGTCTTGCTAAAGCCCCATTTACACGTACAGTTCATTGATCGACAAACTGTAGGACATCGAAAGGATGGCCGGCATCCTGTCAACTTCCCGGTAAAACTGAGCGTGGAAACGAGAAATCCTCTCGATATCAAAGGGTTCTCAGTCCAACCACCAGATTAAACTGTCAGTTTGTCGATGAATGAACTGTACGTTACATCATGCTCTACAGAACAAACCCTGGGACCGTCATACTTCAGATAGTTCACATCAGATGATCCTCGCTAGAATAAGATATCACTGAGAGAGCATTTTAGCTTCTTTCTGCTGGGATAAAACAGAGAGCCCCTGCTTTATTTCTACCAACCTAATGGAAAAAAGAGGGAAACTCACCAAGACAGCATCCACCATAGACTTAAATTCCTAGACAACATATGTCATGACCTCATCTTTTCGCTCGCTATAAAAACTTCAGTGAAGCTGCACAATGGACAACACCATTATATCCAAATGAAAAGTAAAAAAAAAAACTGTATGCTTCACAAGAAGTTGAGACTGTTTCAGAATGCTCTCAGGTCTGCTGTGGTAATAGTATAGATTGTGAAGCGCATAGAGCTAGCTGTTGAGCTGGAATTTGCGCTATACAAATGCTATTTATTATTATTATCATTATACAATCGAGAATTCAAACTCACTCACCCGACTCAGCCTGGAGACAGCGAGAGAGACGCAGCCTTTGTACTCTTCTGGGTTCTTCCTCACCAGGGCCTCGATCAAACTTGTGGCAGACGTGACCACGCCCTGCCGGGGAGAGAGGTCAAGGTTGTTTTACAGTATGCATAAAATAAAACCAGGCTGTCTGCAAAAGCATCTCATCACAGAATTAGAATAGAGATGCATGCATAAAAAGCTTCAAAGATTTAAAAAAAGCAAAAAAAACTTTGAATATCTCAGGAAACGTAAGTCCAAATCCCTTCCTTATTCCCTCATGCCAAAAGGCAATCCAAGGACTCTGTATAAAACAAAGAGTTGTACCTTCCCAAACTTGCACTCACCCCTCCTGTTCTACCTGCTGCATTGTTTTCCTGTTCCTACCATCCACTTTTAACAACTGCGCTCCGTCTCCTTCCACCCCCCCCCCCTCTTATTGTACCTGTTGCACTCCGAGTCTCCCTTCACCCCGCCATCTCTACCCACTGTATTCAGTGCCCCTGTTCTAACCATTGCAGTCAGTCCCACCATTCCACTGAACCCATCCCCATTCTAACCGTCGCACCCTGTCTTTCCACTGTTCCTACCCACTTCTACTCATTGTATTCAGTCC